ATATTTAACAAAAAAAAAAAAAAATTAGTTATCAATACTCAATATAAAAATTTTTTGGAACAACCCGCGACCCGTATGGGCTCGACCCGGATGGGTCAGTAGGCGGGCTTGAGTTGTAGTCCAAAATTTGTGGGTCAACCTGAAACCCGTAGCGGGCGAGCTTTTTTTCACGCAGACCATTACCGGGCTCATATGTTGACGGGCCGACCCGAAAAGATAAAAGATATCAATTAAAAAATAAAAATAGACTATCTGCAGAAAGTAAAAGACTATTTGCGGAATATAAACAAGAAATTGAAAAATATACTAATTTATTGGATCAAAGAATAAATTTGTTCATATAAGAGACTAATCTCTAAAGATTATTTATAAAAGAAGGATATGTTTTACAATAAAGAAATTCATTTTATTAAGGGTAAACAGACTTTTCTATAAAAACCTAAAAAGATTCAATATACCTGGCTAGTTTGAAAAATATCTCACAAAAATTAGATGATCCAAGCGAACTATGGTAACACATCAAAGCTCCTTTTATATACAAATCTATCACCGTTGATCTCAGATGGTGATCGACAATTGTCGAAACTAAAGTTGCACTTACAGAAATGCGATTTTGACCATTTATTGGGCTTTGGGTTTGGACTTCATCAATGAATTATCCGGCATTGGATCAACTATTAAATAGACCAAGCCTCAAGTCTCATCATTACCCTCCAATTGGACTAGATTGGCATCACTAGCCAACAAAATCCATTTACAGCATTATCATTTTTCGTGGCCGCTTAAGTTCAAGTTCTGTAATCTATAACTAATGCAATTGATTATTACCTAGTTTTGATCTTTTGGGATTGGATGGGGTTGACAACATACCTCTCTTTTCCAAAAAATTAAACTGATTTGGCATCGACCAAAGCAGGGTAGGATTTTTTTGGGGGGAGGGGTTATGGGATAGTGTTAGTGGACTAATTTTGGACATCGGAGCATATGTTGTGGATTGCACGAGGAGTCTGTTGGGGTAAATGAAGAGTCGAGACATTAGTAACAGAGGGTTTGAGTACGACGAAGAGTCAAGAAGCGTTTGAGATGAGGGTTATAGAAGTTGGAATTGGGGGAGCTGGCGGTGGCTCTGGGACTGTAGATTGGCTGGTAAGGACCATTTTTGCCTGTTAATGAAATGTTTGAGGAGCTTAATGCCAAGAAAGAAAAAATTGGAGATAAACTTGCAAAATAGGGTACAGGTTGGAGACTATTTCTGCAATTTACTGTTTTCCTTAAAGACGACTTTTACTAGTCGCCAACAATTTCTTCTCTCTCAGCAAAAAGCAAAAAATGGCAGAAACATTCTTGTTCGACATCACAGAGGACGTTCTATCGAAGGTTTCTTCACTTGCTCTAGAAGAGATCAGTTTAGCTTGTAGCATCAAATCAGAAGTGAAGAAACTTCACAACACTTTGTCTACAATCAAGGCTGTACTTTTGGATGCAAATGAGCAACAAACCAAGAATCATGAACTAAGAGACTGGCTAGAAAAGCTTAGGGATGCCGTCTATGATGCCGATGATTTGTTGGATGATCTTTCAACTGGAATTTCACCGCAGAGGGATAGCACTTCAGTTCTTGCAAAGGTTCGTAGATTCTTTTCATGCTCAAATCCATTGGCCTATAGATTCAAGATTGGCCATAGGATAAGCCAGATCAGGAAGAAACTAGACGAAATTGCGGCTGACAGGAAAAATTTTCACCTTACAGAACAGGCTTATATTGTTCCGGTAGAGAATAGAGAGAGAGATCAAACTCACTCTTTTGTAAAAGCCTCAGATATCATTGGTAGAGACTCTGATAAAGAATTCGTCGTACGGCTTCTTTTGAGAACTAATGATGAAGAACATGTTTCGATTATTCCTATTGTCGGACTAGGAGGTCTTGGGAAGACGACATTAGTTAAATTGGTCTACAATGATGATCGGGTAGTTCAAGGTTTTGATCTTAAAATGTGGATTTCTGTTAATGAAGATTTTAGTACAAGAAAGGTAACTGAGAAAATTCTAAGATCTGCCACTGGGGAAACTTTTAGCCATCTGGATATGGACGAGATGCAGAAATGTTTGTCGAAAATTTTGAATGCTAAAAGATATTTACTTGTCCTGGACGATGTGTGGAATGAAGATCGTAATAAATGGATGGGTTTGAAAGAATTGTTGATGAACTGCAGCTCAGGAAGTAAAATCATCGTTACCACGAGAAGTAAGACTGTTGCTACGATTTACAGTACCACATCCCCTTATATTTTGAGTGGTCTCTCCGATGATGACTGCTTATCTTTATTCTTGAAATGCGCGTTCAGTAAACAAGACGATTGGCTCCCTAATCTAGTAGAAATCGGGAAGGAAATTGTGAAGAAGTGTGGCGGAGTTCCTTTGGCTGTCAAGACATTGGGAAGCTGCTTGTATATGAAAACAGATGAACAAGAATGGCTGCATATAAGGGATAACGATATATGGGAAATTGATCAAAAGCAAACTGACATACTTCCTATATTGAGGCTAAGTTATGAACAAATGGCATCCTATTTAAGGCAATGTTTTGCGTATTGCTCCATGTTTCCCAAGGGTTTTGAAATTCCAAGGGAGGAATTCATCAACCTCTGGATTGCACAGGGTTTCATTCATTCACCAAATGGAAATAAACAACTTGAAAACATTGGAAACCAGTACTTTAATGAGTTGTTATCAAGATTCTGCTTTCAAGATGTAGTAGAAGCTTTTGATGGAGAAATATTGGCCTGTAAGATTCATAACCTCGTGCACGACCTTGCACAATCTGTGGCTGGATATGAATGCTTAAATGTGAAATCTGATGCCAAAATTATTTCTGATAGTGTTCGCCATCTCTATTTTCACGCAGAAGATCTGTCTAGAAAAGAATTCCCCGAACCCTTGTCCAAAATGAGAAAATTGAGGACCTTCCGTTATTCTTACAAGGTTGCAACCGTAAACGAGAATTTCATAGAGACGATCACATTGAAGTTCAGGCGCCTTCGAGTCTTAGTACTTAACTCATTAGAGCTTGAGGAGTTACCGAGTTCCATTGGCAACTTGAGAAAATTACGGTATCTTGATTTGAGTAACAGCAGGAAGATCAAGTTCCTTCCAAAGTCCATTTGCAAACTTGTGAATCTACAGACACTGAATCTCATAAACTGTGAGGAACTTCAACAGCTGCCGAGAAATATTGGGAATTTAGTTAGCCTCAGAACTCTATATTTGACTTCCCATGAGATTTCTTTGAGAAGAAAAGGTCCCAAAAGCTACAATTCTCTCCACTTCTTGTTGCTCTACAATTGTGACTTTGTAAAACTACCATCAGAAGGATTTCAACATTTCACTTCTCTTCGAGTATTACGCATTTATGAATGCCAAAGACTAGCTTCTCTTCCAACAAGTATTAAGTATCTGACTGCACTCGAGAAATTGTGGATTTGGAACTGCGACGAGCTCGATTTTACTGACGGGGAAGGATTGGAAGGCCTCGAGAGTCTTCAGTCACTGCTTTTAATGGGACTTCCGAAGATGGTAAGTGTGCCAGTGGGGCTTAAAGAGACTGCTGCAAAAAGTCTCAGATTCGTTCGAATAGCTAATTGTGCAAGTTTGACAACATTGGCCGAGTGGTTTTCAGATTTCAGTTCACTCCAGAGGCTTTACGTTGAGGATTGTCCCAATTTATCCGTACTTCCAGAGGGGTTGCAAAATCTAAACGCCAAAGTGCATATTAGCGGTTGTCCAAAACTGGCTGGAAATAGCTGAATAATCGCATATTTAGTTCCACAACTTCAATCTTTCAAGAGTACGGGTAAAAGAATGAACTTTTTCCCTTTTCGTTTCTTTTAATTCTTTCAGAAATAGCGCACTTTTCACTGATTGTATTTACTTCACTTGATTCATCATTTGAAATTATGTGGACCACTGGACAAGATTGCCGTAGGATCCCTTTCGAGGTCAACTGAAGTTTCTGATAAGTGCACGATAAATAAATAATGAAGTTTGCAATCTTTTTCTTTTATTCCTTGATTCTCGTCATATCCTAGACAGAAAGAGAGTTCTCCTTTGTGTTCCAATTACATGTTAAACCATCAAGATCGAGTTTAAAGATAAATATACCAATTTAAGATGATCCTATCCCTCTTTGCCATTTCTTTTATTTCAGCCTTGATGAGATTTAAGGATAGAATGAAAATCAAATCTGAAACATCCATATTTGGTGGATATTTGTAGTTTCTGACCCACTGAAAAATTGTGATGGTGGTGCTTCGTAGGAGTTTGTCTATCATGAAGCTTCATAATGACTAGCAGTCCGTTCTGGGCTCCTGTTCCTATGTTCTTGATTCATAGGCATCAAGGGTAAATGGGTAATACACAAAGGCAAGTGGTTCGCAAGAGTAGGCCCTGTGGATATATAGTAATAGTAGAGTGAAATATTGAAGCTTTCTAGCTACTGACCTTGTGGTTGTGGACAACGGACTACCCTTCCGGTTCGGCTCATCGACGGGAGTTGTGGTGAATGAGAAGGAAATTCACTCATCTAAGCTGAAGTCAAGACTTGGAATTAATACTAAGTTACTAGCTTCCTAAGGGCATTAAAAAGTGAAAACTTAAGCCAAGATTGTTGAACCATCTCATGTAAAAGTGTAAGCTATTAAAAAGTGAACAAATTCATATTCGTCTAAATCTCGTCTTTGATTGGAGCCTCCATAGGTTCCTGACCACTATTCTGATTAACAATATACTGCAGCAGCAACTGAACAAGAAGGTAACCTTTAAGAGCCCAAAATAAACATGCTATAGATACTGTGAACTGTGCTTTATTTTTTGAACGAAATGCTTCCACATGAATCATATGAATTATTAAAGGGTGATGGTTCATTGTTTTACAACTTGTATATTTTTGTTAAATTCATAAGCAGAGGCCAGACAGGATTTTCGTCTGAGGTTGGAGTTTCGAGGACCATGCCGAACCCTGCATCAAAGTCTTGTCACCGTGCCCGCTTGGGGTCAAAGTAAGGAAAGAACTCGTAGCCAGATGAGACATAACAAAGAGTACAGTAACCGATTGAAAGCTGGGGTCAATTATGAGGCTAAAAGTAGCTGAATGCAAGAAAAAAATTTATTCTTAAGATGAAGTCGAATCGAGCCGTGAGGATGGTAGAGTGGAATGATCCAAACAAATTCATTCACTTCAATAGATACAAATTTAAAGTTTCTCTATAGAAACCATGCGACCAACTTAGATACCGTATAGGGAATTATTCACAGGCACCGTACAGGTGTGTGTTGGTAGCAACTATGTGGTTCATTTTTTATCTATTTTGAAGAAAATAAATAAATAATTGATAAATGTCCTATTTGTAAAAATTCTGTCAAACTCCCCCTGTATGTGTAGCATCATTCACTTTCATACATATGCAATAAAGGCGTGTATTTATGTATGTATTTACATTAATTTAACTTCATTTACATGCATGTGTATCCCAATATCATTTAAATGTTAAACACCTGTTTGGTAGGGATTAAAATAAGATTTTTAGTAAATTTTGATAAAAGTTGATGAAATATGTGATTGAAAAGTTATTAGATCCATAAAATATGTGATTAAAATTAATTGTTGACTTTGATTTAAATTAAAATCTAGATTTTAATTAGTACTAAACAGAGGCTAACTTTGTAGTATGTCTTTCTTCACCATACATACATGCATGCAAATGTATAGATCATATATACACGATCAATACAAGTATTATAATAGATTCAAAAGTTAAAAATAGGTATTTAATAGAATATCAATCTAGACTAGTCAAATAAATATTCAATTATAACTCGAGGCACAAGGCAAAAGAATTCATCCACCGTCACAAAAATGCAACAACAGTTCATTGTTAATCTAGCGAATATAAATTTCTTAAATGTGGAAGAACAATAGAAAAGTAACACGTAGGAATTTTGCATCCTTCTGTTTCTTTTTCTTCTTTAATTTACTCCACAATTTTTGTCTATTTACTTGGTGACTTGGTGTATAATAAATAATATCTATAATGGGTGTTGGAAAAAATGAGGTGATGACTGACTTTGCCATAAATTTTGAGTGGGATCCGTTTGCTTAATTTGGAAGATCAACATTGATTTGTGTTCTCTTTCGTGAGAATATCAAAATCATGTATTTACTTACCAAAAATGAAGCTTAAGTGAATGAGAAATTGGAGTTTAAAGTTGACCATTGGAATATGGTTTATGTTGGAGGAAAAATTAAATTTGAGTTTATCCCACATAGGAAGTTGATGAAAGCAAAAATCACTTTATATAAGGCTACACTTTGGAAGTGTGTAATCATGTGTAGCATAGAGGGTCTCTCCACGTGCGCTCGCAGGAGGGGTACAAATCACGAATCGAAATAAGATTCAGACCTTGAACTTGTGTGCGGGAGCGATCTGCGTACACGAATGTTGGATCAAATTGACCAAAAATTGACTCCTTAGGATGGTCTACATTTTGTCAATTTTTTTTTTCAACAACTGACTTTTGGTTTCTGAAACTCCAATGATTATTTTCATTAAATTTGAAATTGTTGAAACTCCAATAGTTATTGAACTGACTTTTGGTTTCTAGTTTCTGAAACTCCAATGATTATTTTCATTAAATTTGAAATTGTTGAAACTCCAATAGTTATTGAACTGACTTTTAGTTTTTGAAACTCCAATGATTATTGTCATTAAATTTGAAACTCTTAAAACTCCAATGGTTAATGAACTGACTTTTGATTTTTGAAACTCCAATTGAAACTCCAATGGTTATTGTCATTGTGTTAATGGACAGATTTAACTCGTAATTATTTGGGATAAGTCTATATAAATCCTCGATTTTTCACTGTTCCAGACATGAAGAAAGAGTCTGCATTATAGTTTGAAAACACACGAAATTGTCCTCTATTTGCATACATATTTTACTGTCTGTCAAGGTTTTGATGGTGATATTGTTCAGATACTAAGTCAGTTGGCCGGAGTAGAATCAACAGTGCTCGGACTCTACTGGTTTACCGTTATATCTTGGAAAACAAACGCTCAAGTTAAATCTCAAGCACTTACGGTGAGAGGACAAATTTGTTTTAAGGAAACTGTGTTCACACATGCCTCGGATTTTAAAGTCCAACTGAATTATTTATTCTCTATAAAATACATTTTTTCTCTACTTTCTTTTGAACTACACATTTTTCATTAAAATAATATTATACACAAATCAAAAAAAATTAATTCCTTTTTAACCACACATTCTCCATCAATTTATTATTTCAAAATACATTCTTAAAATATAATGTGGTTCAAACACCCCCTAAACTGAATGAAACGTTATTTATCAAAAATCAAGTTCAAAACTTATTTATTAAAAAAATTAGATCGTAATTCAACATTTTAATATTAATAATAATATTATTAAATTATATTAAGGGGGTGTTTGATGGATATTATTGAGGAAAAAATGTATTTTAAATAGTGATGTGACGGGAAATATGTGGTTAAAAAGTAAGGAAAAGTTATTAATGTGGTGGAAAATATTATTTTATTGAAAAATGTGTGGTTAAAAATGAGTTTTGAAATAATGTATTTTCAAAGCATGTGTGTCAAACATGGACTAATCTACTAATTATGAATATACTCATAACCAATGTTATAAAAATCGGAATGAACCAGCAAGAAATCGGCAAAACGGACTCAAGTCCGATACGTGTCACGTAGATTTATTGCTTGACGAACAACCCGCTTCAAATTCGTTGAATCTTCTATTTTTTAGTTAACCCGTTTCCTTGACCCGACTGAGTTTTAGTATTTGTTGAAACTGGTGATCTGGAATCTTTCATCTGAACTTAACACCAGATGATTTTTAAGTGATTTTCTATGCCAACCATGTGAGCTTTGATAATCTATTATGAAGGTTTTTGCATAAATTGTTAGAAGTTCTGAGTGAGATTATTAATGTGTTATGAATGGATTTGACTGTAATTTTTTTTTTCCACTTCACACCATAAGATGAATATTGGAGTTTAAAGTTTTTGAAATTGATATGCATTTGTTCATTATTATGCAACAGAGAGAAAAAGAATTCAAGGGTAGCCAAACAGTGGGGCTGGCTCATTAGTCAAAATTACATATACTCTTATTCGACTCCACTAGAGCATACTACCATTCGGAACCGGGATTTTGGACTTCTGTTTGAGTTCTTTTTTAAGTTCTTGTGATTTTGGACTTATTATGCAGGTGATTCAATATGTGAATTCTGTTTGCATGTTCAATTCTCCAAGATATGGGTTCCCTTTCGCAAGTTATCAGTTGTGCGATTGTAGATGTAATTTATTGCTAATGTGATATTTTCTCACTTAATCTCCGCATGTATTTAATTTTTTGGATAGAGCAGTTGGTAACAGCTACCGATTTTTATCTCAACTTTGTGTCTTGGAAAATATCTTGGTTTCTAATTTCCTTAGAGCTTTGTCCTTGAGGCAGTGCCTCAGCATAGACCTCGACCTCAATATGGACCTCGGTTTGTACCTCTTTAGACACCTCGGTTAGTACCTCTTTAGGCACTTCGGCTAGCCATTTGGGGAGCCTCGGTTGTACCTCTTTAGGCACCTCAGCTAGTCTCATTTTAATGGAATAACAGAAACCATCCCGTATACCTACCAAATAGAGAAATGCAAACGACAATAACTATAAAAATAAAAATTGCTTGACAGATATATGAAAAATAAAAACAGAAATAAAAAAATAATTATTCCCTGCTGGATTGGTAAATTACCAAATTCTCGCAAACAATATAATCCAAAATATATGTTGAATTCTGAAATTTTATTAATAATATCAACAAAAAGCCACATTAATTATGTAACCAAATTAATAATTCAACTCTCTATTTCTTATGAACATAGAGAAACCAAAGAACGCATAAACTAGCAAGCAAAACAGATTAAAAATCACATTTTCAAGCCACACATCATATATTTAAATAATATTATAAAGAAAATGTAATCAAGTATAATGTATTTGGGTTTTGTTGAATTGTATAAGGAAGATAGTTTGAAGCCAATGGACGTAGAACAACTCAGGGAATGTGCTCACAAGATTGTAGACTTCGTTGCTGATAACTACAATTTGAAGCTGAGGTACAGGCAATAGAGCGCCGACGGATCTGATTTGGTTCATTGGTTGAGTGGACAAGTATTTTGTAAGTTTGATTTCCAATTTTCAATTTTAAGGTGTAGGGTTAGAGTTAGATTACTGAGTTAAGGGTTTACTAGTAATGTTAATTGGGCCAGAATTTTGGGAAAGCTCAATTGTCAAAATTGCCCAATTAATTTTGGAAAAGAATAATGGAAAGTCCAATTGCCCAATTAATTTTTTTTAACGGGTAATCGGTTCGAGGCGGGGTATTTAGCGACAATACTTGTTATATTCTTTTTATATCCTTCGATTATTTAATTCTTTAACTTTATTTATATTTATTTTAATTCGAATAATTATTTTTAATTAACATTTATTTGTAAATTCTAATAAAATAATAAATAATAACTAGGACATTACTACTTGAACAGGGCCACATGCGCCATGATCGAACAAGATAACTATTGAATATACTAAATATAAATTTTCATTAAAACTCAAAAATTACAAATTTAGTAATTAGAAATAAAAAGAAATTAGCACTAGAACAAAAAAACATCCAAAAAATAAAAAAGTAAAATGCAACATTAAATTAAATCAATAATTTATTACTCCAGAAGTTCAGAATATCTTAGCCGACATAGATAAATCGATGATAAATAGGTGCACATTGCACTTCAAAATGCATTAATTGATAATTTGCAAGATGAATATACTAATTCCGAGAAATAAATGACAAAACTAGTTGTGCTTTTTATTATATGTAACTTCTTTTGTTCATTAAATGTAATTTTTTAAAATTGTGATATTAAATGTAAAACTTTTTTTTTAATTCATTGAGTATATGCAATATTTTAGTTCATTAAATATAATTTACAATAATTTTATAAATAATATAATTTATAATTAAATAATTTCTAAGATAAACTATTTAATGAGAAATAAAGGAAATAATATTAATTTGGTGTAATATTTGGTCTAACCATTTCAGAGATTACTCAAATTGGTGCAAACCATTGGAGATGTTCCAAGGTATGTTTATTTTTTTATTAGATAGATGATGTAAATTGCTATTTAAATTAGTTGGCATTACTCAAATATTACAATTTAATATAAAACAAATTATAAAATGCCAACTAATTTAAATAGCAATTTACAAGTTTAAATAATCTTAAATTATCATGAAACCAAAAATTATAAAATGATGACCTTTGGGAGATAAATCAGAGCCAATAATAATAAAAATAGAACAATTTTCTTTTTTTCCCCCTGTTTTGTTTCCCATGACCAGCTGAGTGAAAAGGGAAATTAGAGAGAAAAAGGAAAAGTGAAAAATAGTGACAAAAAAACAAAAAAAGTGCAAGGGCCAAAAGGAATGCCAATAGGGGAACAATGAAAAAAATAAAAGAAATTTAAAAAGGTCAGATTTCTAATAAGAGAGAAACGGAAGTGGAAAACTAAATGCATTTATACAAACAATCATGCTACATACATATTCTACTTGACATTAAATTTGACATTCTATCACGTGACATTTATCTCTATTGATTTTTACAATCATCTTTCACATCACTGACCAAATTTTGACACATAAGAAAATGTCCAGAAGAATGTCAACAAGGAATGTGCATATAACTTAATTCTTATACAAATTACTGGATCAATTGAGTGGGTCCCAAAGTTACACATGTAAATAAGTGACGAGAATAATGAGTAAAATACTAGAAATTTTTCGATTCAACACAAAAATAGGAGGTGCAAAAGGTCTAGAAATGACTATAATGTGCAATGCTTCTCATTCCAAATAATTCTGTTGCACGGACACTTCAACTAAGATAACGTATCCATGTCTGGCACGTGACAAATATCGATACTTCTCGACACTCTATCATGATCATTTTTCATTTTTATTAGAAAATATTATATATTTTTAACTCAAAATTATTAGTTAATAACAAATATGTACTCATAACTAAAAATTTTAACAAGAAAAATTAATAACAAGTATAAAACTAAATTTTCACTATATAAATAAAGAATTTAATCACCGTGTCGTGTCGGTACTTTTTTAAAGTTTACGTGTCCGATGTCACGTCGTGTCGAAAACACGTGTTCGTGTTAGTACATCATATCCAAATATGAATCACGAGAGGAATCATGAGATTACATTAACGCTTAAATCATTTGATGAAACATTATAACAATAAGGAGAGGAACTTTATTTCAGGAAACTTGAAAGAGTAGGGTGGGTACACAAAAGTCTCATAATAAAAGCAAAGCATTTGACACCACATACATAGTATAGAGTTCACGCGGGATATGTGAGCAAAGAAATAAGAGACTCGTACTCTGGAAAATTCGAAATGAGCTCAGAACGTTTAGCCAGCTCAAAATCTTCAAACTGGAAGGCAGGAGCACAGGTGCATCCCACAAGAGAAAAGTATTTCTCGGAATCCCTTGGTGCTTTTGTAACTGTACTTTTCCCGTCGGCAGAGACGTCAATGTCCTTGGTTGGAAATGCACCAAACCAAACACCTGGAGGCACCGCATACTGCAATAACTGATTCTCTCTTGTAATATCGGGTCCAAGACAGGTTAGTTTAGCACTCCCATCCTTATCATTTAATTCTAGCACCTGACAGATAAAATTGGCATCAAAGATTAAAAAATAAGCAATTCCAACAGAGAATATGGCTGTTTCCATCTATACAGTAGATACGTGTTTGCCATAGATCTATTAGAGAAATAATTTGATAACGTCTTAGTGGAGGTTCAAGTTCCTGGATTGTCTAGGAAAAAAAATGGTACTAAACTAGTAGATACAATGAGATAATAAAGGAAACTTGGAAATCTTAAAATTTAAAATAATAATTTGATCTTAATCCATTACAAAGGCATGGTGAAAAGAAAAATCGAGGATAGATATCTCGGTCCCAAGCACTAGAATGCTTGCAAAACCCAGTCAGAATAGATCAGAACGAATTTTCACTAGGTTCTTTTACATGCCTTGATCACTGCTCAAACTCAAGTATACATCAAATGAACTTCAGTTTTATTTCCTAATCATATTAAAACGTGAATTTTTTTTTACAAATATGAAGCAGCCAATTGCTAAACGAAAAGGATCACTGAAAATCTCAAACTTTGCTGATGATTAAGTCAAAGCCAGAGTAAAAGCTGACATGAATATGAAAAATGGATGATGATAGGAGAACATAATTATATTGATAAGCTTTTGAGTGTTTCTCATACATGGTAATCAAACTAGGTGAAGAAAAGAACATTTGAAACTTACAAGTATATAAGTTAAATAAGAATCTAACTGTGGACATGTAGATTGCCTCTCAAGGCAAATCTTTAACGTGTAATAATAATCAATCAGATGTTACCGTGATAGGTTCTCCCAAGTAAAAATGCCATGTTTCTGCACACGGGATGCGGTGAAGGTGAGAAACACTTCCAGAAGGTAACAAGAAGTATATGCTTGTACTGACTGGTCGATCAACCTTGTCTGTGGAGAAAGTAAAATCAAGATTTGGAGAAAGCTGTAACACACACTACTATATAACTCTGGAGTTCAATACAATTATGCCTTAGTATTGCAATATGTTGTAATAAATATTTCTTTTTCTATGCTGAATTGCTGACGGCATTCTGATGGCAGAGCACTATGAAAGTATGGCTACTATTTGATATCATCATACCAATGCTAGGCATCTCAACTTACCATTACAAAACGAATATGGATGTAATCTCTGCTGTCATTGGCTACAATATTGGAACATGTATAACAATTTGGATAAGAAAATAAAAATATCCCAAAGTTCAAAAAACTACATGTGTCGTAGAGACAAATTTACCCCTCTCAATTGTTTCATGTGATAGAATATATTTTTGTTCCTACATGAGTAATACATTAACCTTATAGGAACTGGCAAACAAAATTTAATGAGTTATTAAACCAAACTTGAAGCAATATTAGCCACATATTTCTTCTCTATCCTAAGGACTTCTTTTTGACAAAATCCTCTAACGTTAATGGAACACAATCCTTGATGCCCAATTATCTTCGGGTAGAAATCGTAGGCAATGAAGGAATTTAACTTTTCACTTATATCATCAAGTTTACAGAGATATATATTTTATCATTTTCCCCTTTCTTTAGTTTCTTATATTTTTACAAAACAACTACTTTGAACGATATATGCCATTGTGGGCTTTTTTGTGATCTACTAACTTATTGGGCTAGTGCTAATTTTTGTGACCTTTGTATTGTTGCTTATTATTTCACTTGAGCTGCTTAAGTGTCTTTTGCTTATTGGTAGCCAAGTGTGTCACTTGGATTGTGCTAGTTTAGGATCCTTTCTTGGCCCTTGGATGTGATCTACGGTTGGGGTTTATTCTTGAAAGATATTTTCATCTGGGCTTCGACCCTTGAGCTTCAGACGGTTTTTGGCTCGAGTCTCTCACTTCTCTCTTCTCTCTGTTGGTTCCTCTCTTCTTCCTCATCCAGTGTTCTCTGACCTTAAGCCTGTAGAGAAGGGAAATACCTGTGTATTACTTAGACCTAAAATAGTGGTTGAGTTGTTGGTGTCTCTTGAAGGCTTAGGTTCGGTCTAGGGCTTGAACTTGACTAAATATGGTAGATCCTTGGATCGATGACCCAAGTCTAGTTCTGGGTGATTCTGACCGGTTCTATAACTCTCTCTGGATGGATGGCGATTTGCAAAGCATGAAAGGGGCTGTTCCTGAGCCTACCATTTCCAGCCAATTGAAGGGAAGTAAAGCTCGGTTTTGTACTCTTCAGTCTCTATGTTTTTCTTTGCTTTGATGTTCTATGATTTCTGTCATCCTTTATGAACATGTTAATATGCTATGTGGTTTGTTGATTGTCACTATAATTTCCTAACAGCCATTTATCCAGCTTCAGTTATTTGTTCTTGTTGCAGAAACACTAACAGAGGATCACAAGCTTATAGGGTCGCATCTAACGAGAACCATAAAACTAAGTACAATAATGAGATATCTACCTCTATCCCGCATGGGTCACATACATGTAGTTGTTGAGATTGAGTTGTACTGGAAACAACCAATACCAATAGCATTGAAACAAGATGCAATCTTTTGCCATATTCCAGGAAAAAATTAATTAAAACATGATCCAGACCTAGATCCTAGTCCAAACAACCCAAGTATATTAATTTTAACCCAAATAAAATAAATCTAATCAGAAACCCATTTAATTAGAAGCTTACATTGAGGGGGAAGGTGGGATTTGGAGAGTAGAACAGAGCTGTCCCTAAATGTTTCCGAATAAAACCCACCTTCTGGGTGGGGCTTCAGATTCAGCTTCGCTACAATCTCTGATTTTGTGACCATTTTGAAGTCTACTTCCGAATTTCAACAGAGTTTATGCATTCGTCAATTATTATCGATTTGTAAACAAGGAGCCTATCTATCTCTATATTTATATTGGAATAGAGCGTGCTTGCAGCATTCATTGCAATTTGGTCGTTTATCTTTATAATATAAGCATATTGGTCCTTAACGTTTCAATTTAGTTGCAATCATGAAATTGTGGACAATTAATTTTTTATCAAAAGCAAATTTTAGCAGCTTCATCTTTTTAAAACTTATTTCTGTCAAACTCAATTTCAATCCCAATAAAATAATTTTACATGTAAATCTAAAACCCTTTCGTATTTTTTAATCACTAGTTTTACAAAATTCTTTTTTTCTGAAAAGTGGAACTCAAGCAGGGGCTTAATGTTATAAAACAATCCGAGTAGATTTGTCAATCAAAAATTAATAATATTATTCATTTTCCCCTATATCTTAGCTCCTGTTTGTCTACTATTAATCTAAAACATTGTTTGCTACAGTAAAATTCTCCACCACACATTCACACAATAAAATATTCTACACATAAACCAATAAAGTTATTTTAAATTTTAACCACACATTCTCTAAAAAATACTATTCATTACACAATTTTCAACCCAATAATGGTAGACAAACAGGCTCTTTGTTTGACTGCTAGTCTAGTCCAATTAAGGTTTGGTGGTGGCAGTTTCCAAACTATTATTTAAATCGAATTTCTCAAATCCCAAAACAATTCACATGGAAATTATTCATTTCAGTTCGATTGCAAGTCAAGTGCAATTAAGCTTTAATTAGCTGTTGGTATGTGTTATTAGTAAACATAATTGTTTTTAAAGTCGTGAAATAAGACAGGTGTTGTATCATTATTTTATTGACTATGACTTTTTTGTCTGTCTACATAATAATCAAAGAAAATGGATAGGATGATCTCTCTTTTATTAGTCATTGCCGGTCGTCACAAAACATTATCTATCTATTTTATCTAGAAAATCGAATTATAAGATCAATGTTTTATTTAATTCTAACATGATTATTGTGACGAATTCAACAAATGAATGCAATTTAGAAGAATGAATCAATATAAGAAAGTCTTGGGTTGTAATTTCGCCTAAATATCGAATACGTTTATCAATTATATAGTTATCTCAAATCAATTTTTTCAAGTTTATAAGTAAGAATCCTAACGTAATTCTACTCATTCTCTAGAGTGTCGAGTAAAAATTATTCCTAAAATTCAATGCCAATATCTCAATTCTGAATTAAATTTCAAGAATTATCAAATTTTATGGTTTTTATTTGGAACGATTTCAATGGAATTATACATTCTCTCAAAACCTATAATTTCCTAAGTTGTGTTATTCTAAGATCAGGTCTTAAATTTTCCTCTCTCGAGTGCTAAAACTTAAACAAACAATTCATTCAATTAATGGTAGTTAGTCGAAAATGTGGAGAATAAACAACACAAATAAACAAAATGAAAAGTTTCAAAGAAATAACTAATTAAAATCAAAACATGATCTCAAATTTTGGTTTTCAAGCTTTAGATAGAAGAATTAGTTCATGATGGATGAAAAAAGAAACTCAAATTCAATTTCAAAAATATATAGAGAAGAAAAGAGAGAAACTATTTTTTAAAAAGTTGATTCGATCTTTTTCTTGATATTCTTCTTGATCTCTTATTTATTTCTTGCTCTTGTCTCAATAAATTGTAGTTTAGACTTCCCTTCTAGATTGTATTTTTGTTTTTGCCAAGTGCTAGACGAGTTTTAGTCTAATTGGGCTTTTCCCTTCTTTTCCATTTTGGACCAAATTTTTGTTAAGGGAATTTCTGTCATTTTTTTTTTGTCATACAACAAAATTTAATTCTTAATTAATTAATTATTGTTGTTGTTGTTGTTGTTGCAATATATTTAATAAATTCAATATTTTCGTTAACTAAACATAATTAATTATTTAGTAATTTATGTTGTAATAAAATAAATAAATAAATATTTTTGAAACAAATAAATTGTTAAGAATAAAAAATGAGGAAAATAATGAAACGCTGTGCAGTTGGTGTAACTTTTTTGATTGTACTAGGTTGGATATAATTTTTAGTTTGACGCAAGATTTTGGTTCAAAATTTAACACAAATTTTGGTATAGGGTTGGTGATGGTCTTAGAACTTCGAGTTAAATGTTTCGATGGACACTGAATTTTGCACCATGTCACGGTTTATTCACCGAACTTGATGAAGCGTCCTTGGCCACTGAACTTTGCTTCATCCCACTTCATCGCTTGCCGGATAGAATTTGCTAGTAGATCTACTCAAGTGATGGACGAAAAAATGAGGTGGCCAGTAAAACGTCTTCAAATGGTAAGTGAAGTGCCAAATCAGCTCCACGTCAACAATTACCAAACACGCCTTTTTCAAAATAAGAAATCAGACACGCATTTTTCCTTACAACTTCAATTGAAGATAAAATTCTTTCATTTGTAGTGAAATCAGAATCCCCCAAAATCGAGCCCCAAACCCTAAGGCTAAATAATTATTGTTGTTGTTGTTGTTGCAATATATTTAATAAATTCAATATTTTCGTTAACTAAACATAATTAATTATTTAGTAATTTATGTCGTAATAAAATAACTAAATAAATATTTTTGAAACAAATAAATTGTTAAGAATAAAAAATGAGGAAAATAATGAAACGATGTGCAGTTGGTGTAACTTTTGATTGTACTAGGTTGGATATAATTTTTAGTTTGATGCAAGATTTTGGTTCAAAATTTAACACAAATTTTGGTATAGGGTTGGTGATGGTCTTAGAACTTCGAGTTAAATGTTTCGATGGACACTGAATTTTGCACCACGACACGGTTTATTCACCGAACTTCATGAAGCGTCCTTGGCCACTGAACTTTGCTTCATCCCACTTCATCACTTGCCGGATAGAATTTGCTAGTAGATCTGCTCAAGTGATGGACGAAAAAATGAGGTGGCCAGTAAAACGTCTTCAAATGGTAAGTGAAGTGCCAAATCAGCTCCACGTCAACAATTACCAAACACGCCTTTATCAAAATAAGAAATCAAACACGCATTTTTCCTTACAACTTCAATTGAAGATAAAATTCTTTCATTTGCAGTGAAATCAGAATCCCCCAAAATCGAGCCCCAAACCCTAAAGCTAATCCATCGATTTTGCCCAAAATTTCAACATCCATATGCACTGGAAGTGATTTCAATTGCACCAAATATTTGCTTTGTGGTTGAATAACTGATATGGAGTTGGTTTTGGCCATTAATGTACAATTTTTAGTTGCGAGGAGGAGTTATGATAATGTGGAGAATCAAAATGGGATATGATATTACAATTAACCTATACAACACTAAAATTAAAGAACGTTTGTCAATATAAATAATTGAAGAGCAAACATGATGTCTTCGTTCCGGACCAGCAGCTAAGTTTATGAAAGCAAGAACAACTCTATATATGGCTACACTTTGGAAGTGTTTAATCATGTGTAGCATAGAGGCTCTTTCCACGTGCGCGCGCAGGGGGTGCAAATCATGGACCAAAATAGACTTCGAACCTTGAACATGTGTGCGTGCCTGACCCGCGTACACGAATATCGAACCGAATTGACCAAAAATTGGCTCCTTAGGAGGGCGGCCTACGTTTTGCCAATTTTTTTGCTTTCAACAACTGACTTTTGATTTCTGAAACTGCTAAAACTCCAATGGTTATTGTCATTGAGTTAATTGACAGATTTAACTCGTCATTTCTGGGGTTAAGTATATATGAAGCCTCATTTTTCCACTGTTCCAGACATGAAGAATACACTGTCTGCATTATAGTTCCAAAACACACGAAAAATCTTTGTCTGTATACGATATTGTCCTCTGTCTGCATACATAATTTACTATCCGTTAAGGTCTTGGTGGTGATATTGTTCAGGTACTAAGCTAGTTCATCGGAGTAGAATCTGCAATGTGATAAATGCATTTCTTTCACATATTTAGGCTGTCAAAACGTGGATATTTGTGATAATTTGAATGAAATTGTGGCTAAAAGTGTGGTTTACTTTATTGTTAGGTTCACATCGACGAATGCAACGGAAGTGGAGGAAATGAAGCAAGAAAGAGAGTCAATCGAGGCAAAAAGGAGATGAGGACTAAAATGCAAACAATCAAAAGAGAGCTCGGAGCGAGAAACGAAAGTCGAGAATGCAAATAGTCATTTAGACATGAAGAGAAGAGCGAGGACAAGATGAATTTGAAATAAAGGGGCCAAAACGAGAGCTAATGGGAAGTTAGGGGCCAAATTGCAAATGGCCCCAAATATGCCCGTGCCACTCTCCAACCTAGCCTCGACTGAGGCTTGGCAAAACACCAAGGCGCCCACCCTAGTTTCTACTAGGCGCGCGCCTCAGCGTAAAACGGGGACAAAAATGTAATTTTTTGATTTCGTTTTGGGGATGTTTAGGGCACTTTTTGGAATGATATTTAAGGCGATTCTGGGGGATTTTGAAGGGGCCGATTTTTAGAGAAAAGAAGAGAGAAAACTTACATTGAAGAAGGAGAAATTCACCATTTGGATCCGATTTCGAAGGCTTGAAGTGAACATTTCCAGATTTTCTCCCTATTTACATGATTCGGGTGATGGCTTTCTTTTATATTCTATGTAATTTTCATATCAATATGCTAGGCTAAGTTTATTTGTATTGGATGGATGATGAAACTACTTGATTTCTAGTCTTTAATTTAACACTTGTGATTTTTAGTTAAATCTTGCGTTGTGATTTTATTTACATGCTTGTTCATATTGTTTTAATGCTTGCGCACCATTAAGACAATAAGTTGCTTATTCGTAGTGTTGGAAAACTCACGTTAGGTAGAACACTGTATACGGAACACATGAAGAATAAATATTAGGAATAATATTTGTGAAGTGTGCGATCGTGTGGGATAATCCTATGTTTTAATGCATGTTTATCATATGAATGCAGACTAGGAGTA